ACACTGCTGCCATAACTGTCTGTTTTTACCCCCTCCCCGCCCCACCATGCTCCTTGCTTTCCCATCATTGGTTGGCTGAGGCTGGTAATTGTCTCCGTGGGATCACAGCAGTAGCCCGGTAGAAGTAAGCTTTTGTGCGCTCTTTAAGGAGAGAAGAAGGTGGGGAGTGAATGTGTTGAAATTCAGCAAGATCAAAGGCATAATTAATGCGCAGCCCATGCAAGTTTATTTTTAGGGCTTCACAGAAAGGCGGTAGATGTTTTATTCGCACTGGCACACGGATGCTCCAGATTAGCTCTCAGGATTCCATTATGGGGACAAAGTGAGGGACACTGAACTGTTGGCGGGGGAGAGGGTATTAGTCAATACTTGAACGTATTTAGCAAGTGACACCTGACTGACTCACTGCAGATTTCTTGCAATGCATGTAGCTTAAGCCCTGATCTGGCTAGGGCAGATGTGCATTAGATCAGTGTTTCTCAACAAAGGTCTATGGACTGGTGCTGGTCCGTAGCAGCCTCCTTGCCAGTCCCTGAGATTTCCCTGAAGGCAGCAAGCCGGTCCCTGGTATCAAAAAGGTTGAGAAACACGAATCTCCTATGCAGTGGAAGTACAAACCTTTCCAATGCTCTGCTTTAACGCCTCTCCTGGGAAACAGACACGTGTATTAAAGACGCGACTTAGGGTAAGCGAGAGACGTGGCTGTGGCTGTGTCTGGTAGTGGCAACGGAAGAGGTCCAGCGCCAAAAGCCATGTACCCTGTCACTGGCAGGGTCAGGGACCCGGGTACACTCCACTGCCACCCTTGCTTTTTGTGCCAGGCAGAAAGCAGGTTGGTTTTAGCCTTAAAGCCCCAGGGGCTGGTTGGCAAAGGTGCTGATCATCCGCAGCTCCAGTCAGTCCCCGGGGGTGTGTTTATGCTGCAAGTCTCGGAGCCTGGGTCAGCTAACTTGGGCTTGCTGGAGTCAGGCTGCAGCATTAAAAATAGCAGTGCGGACATTCGGACTTAGGCTGGAGTCCAGGCTCTGAGACCCTTCCCCCCCATGGGCGTCTCAGAGTCCCAGCTCCAGCCTGAGCCCAAATGTTTACACAGCAGTTTTGTAGCCCCCGACCTGGGCCAGCCACATGTGGGTCTTTTACTGCCATGTAGACAAATCCCGATAGCTCATCACCTCTGGAGGGGCCCGTTTCCTAGGGCGGGAGATTGAAGTAACATACAGCACGGTCGCATTTCTGCCGTATGTTCCTGCCTCAGTGTGCCTAATATAGGAGCTGAATGATTCTCCCCACTCCTCCCTCTATTGCCCGCTAGCAGATGCGAAAGGCAGGGGATGCTTTTCCCTCCTCTCCAGCTTATCAGCCGCCTTCTGCCCTCCCGTCCCCCTCAGACTCTTAGATTGTGTGTGACAAGGGCAGGTCTGGTACATGGAGATTAATTGCAACTGTCTAAAAGTAATTCCACTGGATGTGCCTTCTTGGCAGCTGCTGCCAGAGGTAACCGCATGCATCGGGGGACTAGTAATGGGGTTAAGAGCCTCTGTTCTCCAGGTATCTGGTTAAAAGCCAACCCAGGGCTGCAGTGACCGGATGACTACCTGGCCTGCGTGACATGAATTGGACAATGGCCAAGTGTCCACCTCATGCCGACTTACTATCACTGGCACCCCTTGGTCCCCTCGCTAGCTTCAGCAGAGGCCATGGACTCAAAGGGCCACATAGACCGAACTCCCCCCTCACAGATGGACGGTTCCACACTTGCATGTGCTTCAGACTTGAGGCGGAGTTGCAACCTTTGCCTTCGGTATTCTGTTCTCTGGGGCTGTCAACCCTACGTTTTCTCCCAGCACTAAAATTCACCTAATTTAAAAAAAAAAAGTACCCTTGGTCACACACATCCACCCCTTCCACCCCCCAAAAAGTCACCAATGCTCTGGGGCTGCTTACTCAGAGCAAGGCACTCTAATAGGTGGGGGTGGGCAGTAGCCCCTCCCCTAGAAGCAGCCAGTTGGCACTGGTGCGATGGTCGTTCTGGGCCGAGCCCCCTGAGGAATGAAGCAGGAGCACTAAGCGTTTTCACTTCTCTCCTTCGTTTAGACCTTACTGCGTCTGAGGTCTGCAAATGCCCCTTCTGCTATTAGAGCTTTTCAGCATCACAAAGTCCTCGTTCAGCCCAGAGCCCAACCCCAGGCTGGCTAGTTTCCCATTGTGGGGATGGAAATAACCCCTGCCCCACATCAGAGCTCTGCTCCCGCTGCGCAGTGAGGGAGTGGCTGCAGTTTGGAGGTGGTGGAAGCTAACGTCATTTTAAGTCTATTTCCATCCTGTAGGCCTGTTCATTGTAAATCCTATAAACCTGGGGGTACGTGATCCACTCTAGTAATCAGAGCAAACTGCTGACTCCCTGCTTGACCGTCAGCCACGCGCTCGAATTCGTGCCTCTGCCGTCCTAGTGCTCAAATCGGGTGAAAGCCGCAGGATGTCACGGCGGAGCAGAGGCTGTATCTGAGCTCTGCATTCCCAGCTGAACTAGGCACTTGCCATCCAGATCTGCGTTTGCTCACGCGGCAAGATCCTTGCCTCGCACGGTTGGCTGGAAGGCAGGAAGCCCCGTCTGCCTGATACACAAGCTGCAGATGTCCTCTCCCCTGCGCCTGACTAGCTGGCTCGCTAGTTTACCTTGCAGCTAGGGCACCTGCAGAGATGAAGCCAGGTTGGGTTTTGTTTCCCTCCCTAAGGCAGGTGTTAAAAGTGTTACTAGTTTCTCTCAGCTTCCTTAGTTATTACTTTGAAAAGCCTATCAGAAGTCTGCTAGCCAGAGAACTAAACCTGCTAGCCAGAAGCCAATGGGAGGGGGCTGGGGGGAGACACGGGATCGAGCTCCAGCAGCTCTACTCCTCCTAAGCCCCTGGAGAGGAGAAGCGTCCTGAGATCCATGACAGGAGCCTGTCCCAAGACTCCAGCTCTCATATCTGTCTCTGACTGGTAGGTGATGGATACATTTCAAGTCCTTCCCTGTAGCCACCTGTAGGTTCCCCATTTTGGCCCCCAGAGGGGACAACGTGTTCTTTTTCTCCCCACCCCTCTGGGGCCCTTTAGCCCAAAAACCCCCTGCTATGCAGGAGCCGCTATTTTTTCCCTTGAAACTTTAGGTGATGAGGTGTGGGGAGAGGAAGGGGGGGGATGGGGGCCATCCTCCCCCATGATAAGCCCCAGGGCTTACCTGTGCTGCTGCTTCATTTTTCCAAGCAGTCCCCAAGAAAAACAAACCTGATTCTTATCACTTCAGCACCTGCCTGCTGGGCTCTGAATATAACGGAACTGACCAGAGCCTTGTTAGCTTTCCTCAAGCAGCCGCAAGGTGAAACCATGGGCAGCACCAGAGGCACTCGGGCGGCGTCTCTGCAGATTCAGGAGGAAAGCATTGCGCTAGTTCTCCTATGGAAAGTTCTCTTTGCAGCCATGTAAGGGCCGCAACTTCTTATATATTTATTTGTAGTGCCTGGGCCAGGACCCCATTGTCCTCGGTGCTGTACAAACACACCACAAAAAGATGTCCCCTATCCCAAAGAGCTTTCAATCCATGTAGAAAATCTTCAGTTCAACGATTGATAACTTAGACCCCTTCCCTCACTGGGGAAAGCTTCCTGTTTGCCACGTCACCAAGAACAGATGGTACAGCCATGCGCTCGGAAGAATGAAATGGCCAAGCTGCTAACAAAAGCATGGGATCTCTCATTTAAAATCCGCCCCTGTGCCAGGAAACCGGAGGGTAGCATATGTGCCTCGCGTCTTAAAAATAAAGCACTGGGTAAAATCCAGGGAATTGCATCAGTATCCGGAAACTTGGTTGAAATGCTGGTTTAAAAGAGGATTATAAAACGCCTCTCTGGAGCACTGCCGGGATCTGGTGTAACGATTCCTACACCAGCGGAAGGGAGTGCTATGGGAGCTGGGTCTAGGTGTACTGCCCTCCTTCCCCCACGCCCCAAGCTGAGGGTGAGTTCGCAAGTTAAAAACAAGTCCCCAACTCAACTTCCAAAACAAAGGAGCGACCCTGGTCCACGAGGACGTGTTGCCCAGTTATAGAGTCATAGAATATCAGGGTTGGAAGGGACCTTAGGAGGTATCTAGTCCAACCCCCTGCTCAGAGCAGGACCAATCCCCAGATAGATTCCCCCCCCCCCCATACCTATATGGCCCCCTCAAGGATTGAACTCACAACCTTGGGTTTAAGCAGGCCAATGCTCAAACCACTGAGCTATCCCTCCCCCACGGTTCTTCATGCCTGGACGTTTCAGCTAGTTTCTGCTGCAGAGGGAGGGCTAAGGAGCAGCTCTGACTGGCCTCAAAAGAGCAGAGGGTCTCTTCTGAGTCAGTGGCCACTGTGGTGGGCTCCTTGGGTAGGAGACTGGCAGCCAGGGCTATTAAGGGGGTGTTGCAAAAGCCAGCTGGTGCTGGCCTAGTGTCCTTTGGAGCAGCATTGTGTGGGCTGCGTACTCTCCACCGGGGGCATATTTGGGTATAGGCCTGATGAGCAGAGCTGTAGCAGTGAGCGGCTTGAGCCCTTCAGACTAGCAGTGGTGGTGTCGCTGGGGTGGCCGTAGAGCTACGCCATTACCAGGTAGCCTCTCCTGTCCGCGGAAGTTCATAGCTTCTTCTGTTCCCTGGCCTGGAAATGAACCACAAAGATCTGCCAGGTCATCTTAGTCCATCACCCTCCCAGCTGAGCCACTCACATGCATTCGTCTGCAGCTGCAAGGTAGGGCAGTGCTAATATCCCCATTTTACAGATGAGGCACAGAGATGAAGTGACATGCCCAAGGTGTCTGAGTCGGTGGCAGAGTAGGGAATAGACTCCATGTCTCCTGGGTCCCAAGCCAGTGCCTTAGCCACAAGGCTACCCTTCCTTTAATCAGCAAATGCATGTCTCAATTGTTTGATGCTCACTACCGGGGGGGCTGCCTGTTGTAACATGGCTGCAACTGTCTTCTCTCTCCTAGGTTTCCATGTGATTCCCTCTGTGTCCAACATCGTGCCGGAGAGCTGCCTCCTCATCGTGGTGGGGCTGCTGGTTGGGGGACTCATCAAGGGGGTCGGGGAGAGTCCCCCGATCCTGAAGTCGGACATCTTCTTCCTCTTCCTCCTCCCGCCCATCATCTTGGATGCCGGCTACTTCCTGCCCCTGCGCCAGTTCACGGAGAACCTGGGGACCATCTTGATCTTTGCCGTGGTGGGGACGCTCTGGAACGCCTTTTTCCTGGGCGGGCTGATGTATGCCGTGTGCCAGATCAGCGGCACTGGCCTGAGTCACATCGGCCTGCTGGCCAACCTGCTCTTCGGCAGCATCATCTCGGCGGTGGACCCGGTGGCGGTGCTGGCTGTCTTCGAGGAGATCCACATTAATGAGCTCCTGCACATCCTGGTGTTCGGGGAATCCTTGCTGAATGACGCCGTCACTGTGGTGAGTGAAGCACGTGGCAAGCTGCTTGTAAGGCCTGGTGGCCGAGCTCCCTTGAGGGCAGCAGAGTCTAGACTGGAGGGCAGGGTGGATATGATTGGATTAAAAACAAAGAGGGGTCCTCGTTGCACCTTAGAGACTAACAAATGTATTTGGGAATAAGCTTTCGTGGGCTAGAACCCACTTCGTGAGATGCGTGGAGTGAAAAATACAGTAAGCAGGTAGAAATATACCGCACATGAAAAGATGGGAGTTGCCTTATCAAGTGTGTGTGTGGGGGGGAGATCAGTGCTAACGAGGCCAGTTCAATCATGGTGAACGTGGCCCATTCCCAACAGTTGATGAGAAGGTGTGAGTATCAACAGAGGGGAAATTATTTTTTGTAGCGACCCAGCCACTCCCAGTCTTTATTCAGGCCTAATTTGATTGCAAGTTTGCAAATTAATTCCAGTTCTGCAGTTTCTGGTTGAAGTCTGTTTTTGAAGTATTTTTGTTGAAGAATGGCCATTTTTAAGTCTGTTAGTGAGCGTCCATGGAGATCGAAGTGCTCTCCTACTGGTTTTTGAATGTTACAATTCTTGATTTGTGTCCATTTATTCTTTTGCGGAGAGACTGTCCGGTTTGGCCAATGTACATGGCAGAGGGGCATTGCTGGCACATGATGGCATATATCACATTGGTAGATGTGCAGGTGAACAAGCCGATGATGACCTGTCGCCATGATTGGATTAGATGCTTTGCTTGCTAAACCCCTGGCGTATGAGTTGCACTGACTTAGATCTCCCCTTAGACTCTGACTTGGTAGTGAGGTGGGGGTTAGGTTACCACCTACACTGCAGCCTGGGGTGTGACTTTCAGCACCTCTACACCAGCTGCAGCTTGCTGCGCTCTAGCTAGCTAGTGAGCGGTGAGGACATGGTGGTGCAAACTTCAGCACAGGCTGCACAAGTGAGTG